TTGTTTTTGTTTTGATGGCGGTGGTGTGGCCATCAAATGGCCTCTGGCTTGAGCTATAGCCCCTTCCTTTTTATTTTTTTCTTTTGAGTTAGTCTTGCTAATTTGCCTAGGCTGGGCTCAAATTTGTGACTGTCCTGCATCAGCCTCCCAGAGTACTAGGATTACAGACATGAGTCTTGTTTTTAGTGCTATGTCATCCTACAACACAGGCCCATCGCCCAGCCTGCCGGGGCTTCTGTATCTTTAGGACCAGGAGACTTAACTCATTTGTTTTTCTAAATTGTCTCTTTAGTTCTTTTATTCCCCCACCTCCCGCCCCAGTAAATGTGAGCTTTACTTTCCTGTATTCAGATTCCAAGGAGATAGACCGCAGCAGAGCCAGAATCAAGCACAGCGAAGGAGGGGACATTCCTCCTAAGTACTTTGTGGTCACCAACAACCAGCTCCTGCGAGTGAAGTACCTGCTGGTGTATTCCCAAAAGCAACCCAAGAGGTAAGACGTCCCTGGGGCTGGGGATATAGCTTAGAGGTAGAGTGCATGCCCAGCAAGAATGAGGTCCTAGCTTTGATCCGCAGCCTTGCAGAAAAAGAAAAAGGGTGGTCCCTGCCCAAAGGCCAGGAGACCAGCTAGATCCCATGTTCAGGGAATTGGTTTCTTCGTTTCAGGCTTAATCCCCCAACCCCAACCCCGGTATATATTCTAATGAAGAGTATAGAAAGATTGCAAATATGCCTTTTTTTGATGGCTGAAGAAAGCCCAACTAGCAGCCCCTTAGCCTCTGGGTGTTTGAGTGGGGTCAGAAACCCACCCATGAGGTTGAGCTGAGAGGTGGGACGGTGATGGGACATGGGCTGAGGCTGTGCATGGCTCAGCTTAGTTCCTTCCCTAGTGGCTGCTGAGCCACTTCCTGTTCCTCTGTGGACCTTCACAAAGATACTTCATCTTTACCTTGAAAACGAGGGTGCTGAGCTGGGGTGTGATAGAGTGCTTGCTTCACTTCTTCTTCTTCTTTTTTTTTTTTAATGGAATAGATTCATTTATTTATTTATTTATTT